AGATGGGTATATGGATACGCCACTGGATGCTTTGAATGTGTTTGTGAGTGAATTCAATTATATTAATTTTTTTTTTTTACAGTGAATAAGGTGTTGTTTTCTTTTACTGTACTCACGTTGTCTGTCACGTTGGCGTTTTTCGTTTTTTCTAACACGCTTCTCAGTTGAGTCACGCTAGAGCCGCCGAAGGACGCCAGGCGATGGAGAATAGTTGAACCATCAAAATTATTCTACAAGAGAAAAGTAGAATATGATAACAAAGAAATACAAAAACAACAACTATACACACCACATTATCCACAAAACAAACAACTCAAAAACATCACAATTAGGTTGCTTACCATATTCGGCATTATTAGAGAATAAGAACTTGAATCAATGTCTTATGAATTACGAGTTTTCTATTAAAATTACGCAAATAATATTGAAATTAAAAGGCCTGTTTTACACACATTATTCAATTATCTTTATATGATATTTTTTAGCGATAGTACTTTTTGTGTAAAAGTTCAATATTATTGTTACCAATAGGTTTAGTAAACAATATTATTGTAAAAAAATGTAAACATGAATATTTTCTGTTTTTTTTTCAGTGGTTTTTATTTAATAATGGTTATCATGTCCATAGCATAGACCTTTTAGTGTTATAAACAAAACTCAAATCAATCATAAAATAAAGAACCAAATTTTAATCAAAAGTAAGTGTCACTGTAATCTACTTTAAGTTAATGTTCCCTTGTCTACTGTATAATATTATATACACGATGTGTGTTTAGTTTTTATTAAAAAAAAAACAAAAAAAAACAAAAAAAACATTGATATCTCATTTTGCTCACCTTGTGTTCTAAATTCTTCAATGTTGCTTTCGCAATCATATCTAGCATTATGTCGTCTGGTGCGTCGTAGTCTGAAGCGTGCATTAACGGCGTGTCCTACGGAAACAAACATACTGAATACTCAATACACGATAGTATCAACATACATCTACAAAATACACAAACAATAAAATATGAGTACACATATTAATCACATCAAAAACTACATATAATTAAAAGATATAATCAAATTAATATTATGAAAAAAAATTAGATTTTATTTTTATAATCTAGGCCTATAAATTATTCAAGTGATTTATCTCGCACATTTGCTTATTGTGAATATATTTATTTTAATAAAATGTATTACCAATCCGTGTTAGTATTTAATATTCACACTTTCTTATTATTTGATATTTTAATTAGTTGTAATTGTTGAGAATTGACTTTTTAGCATGGTTTATAATTTAAATAATATGATGAAATGAATACTGTATAAACAATTACAATCAAAATTGATGTCTAACAAAATATATTGTACATTAAAAAAAAGAATCATAGTTTCACAAAAAAGTATTGAAAGCAAGTTCATAAAAATATTTAAATGATAAAATACAACACTATTTAAATTATACTTAGCACTAAAAAAGTATAAACGCTGTTTTTCTAATAGTCCCCCAATTTATTTCGTTTGATTTTATAATATTGTTTTACCGTATGTCGTTTTTGCATGGGTTTCTCCTTATTTTTCATTATCAGCCTAATGTTCATTTGTTTACACTATTTATTATAAGCTGTAAAATTGTATATAATATTAATATAATAAACAATACCAAGTTTATCCTTCAAAGTAATAACGTAGGCTTAGTACTTTATTATTATTATTATTATTATTATTATTATTATTATTATTGATTTCATCATGCTGATATTTTACATGAATTTTATTACAAATTATTATAAATAAGTGATGTCTAACACCATTTTAGGTTTCTTACTGTATTCAGTAGCTTAATTGTTTTTCGATGATTAAGTTTTAAAATCATCACTTAAGAATACAGGTCTCCCTCTAATGAAAGACCCCCTCCAATTAAGACCACCTCCAATTAAAGATCACTTTTCTGTGGTCCTATGTTAATAAATGCCTTTTATCTGTATTATTCTAATTACAGACCATGGTCCCAAAAGTGGGCGTTAATTGGAGGGAGACCTGTATTATCATTATTTTTTAAAATATGTGTTGCATTTAGTTGTTATAACTATTAAAAGTATGTATTTCTTATTTTATAATAACATTAATGTATTGATAAACTCCGAATGTAATTCATTTTTCTAACATTGTATTTGTTTGGTCTTAAACTAATTGATTATTGAAACCACAGTTCCGTACTTATGACCTTTAATGAACATTGTTTTGTTTATCATAATGAGCAATAAATAAATACAGGATACGGTTGTCCAGGTTTCCACGGGGCCAATGGTGATTTTTTTTTTTTTTTTGTTCGATTTCATTGTGTGGCCTTTGTGCTTGTATGTTTGTTATCATGTGGTACCCGAATAAATAAATTGAAATTGAAAAAATTGAAGCACTTAATAAAGTACTATTGAATTTGATTAGGCCTAAGCCTATTATACTTTTCACGATTTATCATGATGATACAACCATAACAAAAATAATTTTATTTATAATTGAAAAAAATAATCCTTTGGCACTGGTGCTTTTTTGTCATAAACTAGTTTGCCTTTAGGCTTTGCATTATACCGACAACTGTACGATTCTTAAGAGTCCTCGGATGCTTACAGAGTTTAAAAAAAAAAACCAATTTATTTTGGATTTGGCAGTTTATATGACAAAGGTAGTAAAAGTCCTGTAGTGACCCAGCTACGACTGTGTAGCTCCTGTGATCCACAAGAACGAACGAGTCCTGAAATATCAACAGCAAGCTTTTACACAAAGGATAACCCACAAAAGTCTGAAGAAGACTTATCTTGTCTTTCTGGTGGTGATTTCGCTGTACACCTGAAAACAATCCCCTATTTTCCGAATAGTATACTGCGTTTTTAACGTGCACATGGACCATAATGCACACGGGACCTTTAAACGTCTAATACGAAAGACGGTTGTTCGCTATCGTAACTTGCATATCGGCCCTCCAGCTGAAATACAAGGACAGCAGCGATAGAAAGTGAATCGGGGACCAAGAGATATCTACGGTTCAGCACACACACACACAGTGGCTAACATCAGTTTAGCTGACTGAGCTCAAATGCTCTTAAGGGAAATCACGGTTAAAATATTCAAAAAGTAAAATACAATTTCAAAAAGTAATGTCATTTCAAAGCTCGAGAAAAAGCTCTTTTATAGGCCTAACTCTGTAAAAAGAAATGTAAAAGACCCGGTATGCAAAAGAAATGGAATGCATGTTCCAACAAAGTTTTGAGTTAGATAAAATTATAGTCGTGTAAGACACAGGTGGGCAAAGTGCGGCCCGCGGACCGCATGCAGCCCGTCATCGATTTTTTTGCGGCCCGCGACAATGAATTAAAAACCCTATGTTTGCGGCACGCCAATCAAAATTGTCTAGAAAACACCTTGTTTTTTACTGTCCAACACCAATCATATGTAAAAAGTAACATTAAAACTGAAAATAAAGTGATGTAAAAGCTGTGCTTGAAGGTTTTCGGAAGCTCACTGGAAACATCAAAGTTTGGGTGCGGCCCTGGTTTTGAATCAAAAATTCACTTTAGCCCTCCGACCGATTTTTATTCCCACTCTTCGTATAAGATAATACAATTTCAAAAAGAATAAGAAAAAGGCTCCTTTTTAACCAATATCATGCAGGTCAAATCTAATAGAGGAAAATTATGAAATCAAATGCGTGTAAATTATGTCAAGTCTTTGACGACTGAACATTTGTTTGTGTCATGCAAACCCGTGAAGAGGTTCTGGGAAACCTTCTTCAATCAGATGGAAAGGAAAGTAGGCCCCTGTATGTAGGCTTAGAGACCTAATTTTCAAAGGCCTAAACAGCCGGGTATTAAAAAAAGGCTATTACACGGTATAAGTTTGGTGATAAAAGTTTAAATCTGATAACCTACATATGACGAGGTTCATGAAAATTGTTTAAATGTTCTTGTTACGTTTAACCTGGATAACGTTTCGCGCTAGATTATTTTGAGATTAATAAATAGCGTCCTCAATAATAAAGCACGCGAGACGGATTTAAATATTCAGGTGCGATTGCGATTCCTCAATTGATTCAATGCCGCGTGTAAAAATTCATACTAACTGGCCATTTCAAGAGTGACGGACGTGATCTGATAGGTGTGAAGCCTGCGCGTTTTGCAGGCCTATCAAAAAGTGATAGGTGGAAGCCTGCACGTCTTGCAGGCCTATCATATGTTTAATAAAAGAAACCAGTGTGCCATAGTTTGATAGGTGTAAAGCCTGCGCGTCTTGCAGGCCTATTATGTTAAATTGTATAGTACAATTTTGGAGAATAAGACTGGGGTTTCGTTGTTCTGTCGCGGTTGCCACAAAAATGTTAAATGACGTGGTTCATGTGTGTGTGACCCAAAGTGACGATAGAAGTCCGGAGACTCTGAAATGGACGTCATGTTAACAAGTTACTATCAAAAACGTGAGTTTATTATTTCGGCGAGTTCATAAAATATATCAAACGTAAAATATGAATATATGATAATGTTAGTTAAAATACAAGTCATGGATATCCATTTAAGAAATGCGTTAAATATTTCAAATATCGTTCAGGTGGTAACATAAATATAGGCCTATTCAAAGTAACAATGCTTTATGAAAGGTTTTATAATGTCCAAATATTAAGAGATACCGGTATTACTATCGTGAAGTTTTGATATATATATATATATATATATATATATATATATATATATTGTCAAATTGGCAATGTTAATTGTTAATGAATGCATTTTATGATAAAAGTTGATAATGATGCCATTATGCAATGTTATGATGTTAAATTGCAGCGTTACTGTGCTGTTTGTTTGTCTGTTGATTTGGTTATTGCTCAGTAAAACACTTTTAAAATTGCTGTGATTGTGATTGTTTGGTCAATGTTTGTGCTGTTAGGACTATTAGTATACAAGGTGAAGGAGCAACTACGTGTTGGCGCTGATTCGTGTGTTGCGACTCTTATTATTCGTCAGTATGATACAAACACTGCAAAAGTAAGACGGTTTCAATGAGATTTGAAATTGGAGCACTTCTCTAAATAAGTCAATACTTTGTTACAGTCGCGTATTAATATCCGGTTGTTTAAATATAAGTTCGTGTACAGGGGCGGATCCAGAGATGTCCAAAAGAGGGGCCGAAAGTGGGGCCGATCGAGACAACACTATCCAAGGGGTGCGGGGGCATGGCCCCACGAATTTTTTGTGTTCTAGACCACCCGGAAATTTGAGGCGTTCTGGGCATTCATTTTTTTCTTTTTCTTTCTTGGGGGGGGGGCGGGCTTGGCCAGCACCCCCCCCCCTAAATCCGCCCTTGGTGTAGACACAGCTATTATCAAATATAAACTTAAATATAAAATGTTTAATATGGTCATTTTGTAGACGTATTATCTGTAAATTGTGTTATATACCACACCAAGTTAATGAATGGAAACGAGTGGTGGTATATATATTTTTGATGATATGAAATTAAACATATAAAGAAACTACAATCAAGTTGTCTTGGTTCATTTTTGAGGTCTAGTATCTGAGAACAGAATCTAATTACCTTACCGTGGGCGCTAACTTAATATATAAAAGCAAGTTAGCAGTTCTCAATCGAATTTAATAGTCAAAATATGTTAATAAATGTTATTTGTGAATTTGAATATTAGTGAATCCTTAATAAATGTAGTTTTGCCATAAAAGAAACAGAATGTTAAATAAATCGTTATTACACAATATTTCATTCTAAACTTTAAAACAGTCAATTGATCTGCAGGCCTGGCAGGAAAAATTTGGTCCGTGGGCCAAAATCGGTCCGCCGGACCGATTTTTGCTTTAAAATTACCTACCAAATGTAGTCCACATAAGCCTAAATCGGTCCGGGGTCTATTTAGCAGTGACTTTTTTTTTTAACGTATAACGTATTTTTATCACGTTGTTCATACTTTGTTCAAATCAAATGTTGATAAATATCTTATCTCTCATTATAAATGTTTTCATTCGTTATGTGTGAAATCATAGGAAATTAAGTAAAGCTTCGCGCCCAGTATACCCTTTCGTGTAAAAGTACGAAATTAAAGAAGTTAAACGATGTGGTCTTAAATCGTGTTGGTCCGCTTTAGTTTTTTTTTACCCTGTTTTGTTTTGGTTGTGTGTGCTTAAAGCCCCATTCCCGGCAAAATTTCACTAAAAACTGACTTTTTTTAGAAAATATGCATTTGCATTACTCCAATTATTATAAATCGTGGAAAAATATTGGCATGAATTTTAGTTTTACGCAAAAGAATTTAAAAAAATGAGAAATACAGACTATTTCTCATAAAATATTACCATTTTCTCGACGAATTCATCGTTACTAGGCAAATTCAGAGGTTGTAGATCGCATCCACTGGAATACTCTCGCCTTTTATGTATACTTTATACAGTCAATAAAGTGCGCCCTCTCTAATGAGATTAGTTTTTGTACTTCGCATCTCGCACAATGCGGTCGTTCGATTAGGCTGAGATATGTTTGTTTAAGTGTCGAAATCTTGGTCAGAATCAGTTTTTTAAGAAATTTGAAATAATTCCTATGAACTATTATATTTCACAAGTGTCAATACTAGCAACGGCAAATATCATGTCGACCGTTTTTTATGTGTGATAACAGAACCTAAATAGAGGTAAGGCTAGGCCTAGGCTAGCAGCGTTGGATAGGCTAATGTTTTCGGCGCCTACGATATTTCTTCTCACGACCTATCGCAAAATCAAACATGAAAAATTCATCCGCATTTATTTTTTGTGTGGAACACAAAAAAAATTAAATTTCAGTCTTTTTTTTACATTTTTTTCATTCTTAGGAATGTCTAAATTCAGTTAAACTAGCAATTCCGTATTATATTTATAAATCTTTATAACATTATACAAAAATTAGATTTTTCTTAACAACTGAAATTTTGCCGGGAATGGGGATTTAACGCCGCGACGAAGTGCATGCATTCAATTCAAAGAATTCTGACCCTTTTATTTCATGTATTAACATCTATTGTATATGATCTAATACCCCACACAATAATCCGGAATAATAATAATAAATTAGTCTTATGTTTCATTTTAGGCCCAAACCTAGGCATAACCACGGCCGCCGAAAATGATGCATGCTGTGTGTGTATCCATCGCCTACCTAGCTAGGCCTAGAAAATGCATTACAGACCTGCCAAACTTTGGGTCATGAAAATATGGAGATTTTTTTTAAAGAATCTTAAAAAAAAATCTGGAGATTTACCAAAAAATCTGGAGGTTTCCAGAATTAACTAGAAGATGATGCAAGATACCAAAAAAGTCACGTCACTACAAATTATTGGCCGTTGGTGGCGACATTCGAATTGAAAATGGCTACTTGTTCATTGCACCGCGAAGCGAGCAGGTGGCGAACAGGCGAATACATATAAATAATGATCAAATCAATCAAATTATGCATAAATCAGAGAATTTTTGGGGGAAATTACGTTCGATCGGGTTAACTGGAGATTTGTTTATACATCGGGTGACACCCGACAGGATCGGGTGAGTTGGCAGGTCTGGCCATTATAAGGTGGGTTTAATAAAACACGTCCTCAAATTAAAGCTAATACGAATCATTCTGCCAAGGCAATTCAACAAAAGGACGCGGGCACATCTCCGCTCTCGAACATAGCGCGTGCGTACAGTCCTTCGATCTTTAATACTGTGGCATCATAGAGCTATTACAACTAGAGTGTGCATGCTAACTTAATGGCGAAGCAATGCGTATTCGACTGGTCTGGTTTGAGCAGCTCTCTTTGAGCAGCACGAAATCCTCACAAAAGCGGCTCGAACTCGCTGTTTTTAACGAGCTTAACGAGCACACTCCGAGCTCCTTGGAAAAGGACCAGTCGAATACATGTGTACCATCCAAGATGGCCGTCGTAGTACCATAATTAAGCCCCCTGACTGACTATTATTTCATTGATAATGAGTAATGGTAATAACAAATTATTAAACTAATAATAATGAGTAATGGTAATAACAAATTATTAAACTAATAATAATAATAATAATAATAATAATAATAATAATAATAATATTAAAATAAATAACAAGCATTTTTAAGCGCTCTATACAATAAGGTCCCAGAGTGCTAGCTATATAGCTCAATTCTCTAAGAAAAGATGGCACTTTATGGTTTATTGTTCAATACTGTATTGCCTTTCAAAATTTGCAGTTGTATACATAATATCAGGTTTATTAAAATACAAAAAAACATACCCCGCCGTTTCTTATACTGTACGTACAACTAAAACTGACTGATTAAAAATTAAAAGATTTTATGATAACTTATATTTTTATGCTTTCCTTTTCTTTCCTTTCAAAATAAATTCCTCCAAATCTGACTGAGTACTGTAGGGACGTATTGATATATTAATATCAAATGGTGAGGACATTTTTTTTTCTTTTCTTTTTCTTTTATTTTAATTTGGAAATTAAAATATTTATAATTATTTTTCGTTATATTTTCTTTAACTAAATAACATTTGGAATGGATTGATGGTTATTATTTGTTACTTTGGGGTGAGGTGGAGGTGTGGTGTAAATTTAAATCGCATTTCATAAAAAATGTAATGATGTGCCAACCAAGAATTTTAGATAATACAACATATAATTATGACTTGAATGGCTCATACATCAAGTACATACCTTATCATCATCACACGTGTTTATGAGATGTTTCTCATTTTTACAGATCCACCTTACTACTTGCCAGTCTTGTCTTTTGATAGCCTTTGCAAACTCATTCCTGTAAAATGAAGCTAGCAACGTTGATTACTGAATGAATCGTTGGATTGGATTTGATTTATTCGGTGTAAACACCAAGGATAGCCCACGAAAGTCTAGAAGACTTATTTCCTGGTGGTGATTGGACAGTACACCGGGAGACAATCCCCTATGCCTACTCTTTTCCGAAGAGTGTACTGCGTTTATCGTGAACATGGGCCATAAATGCACACGGGACCAACGGCTTTAACGTCTCATCCGAAAGAGGTGCGCTATTGTAACTTGTATTTCAGCCTCCCAGAAAAACACAAGGAGAAGCAGCGATGGGAATTGAACCGGGGACCTAGAGATCTCCACGGTTCAGCGCACACAGAGTGGCTACCACCAGATTAGCCGACTGAGCTAAGCTGCTCTCAAGTCTTGACTAATTAAACTTAACATCTTGTGCTAAATAAAATTAGGATTCTCGTCAATGTTAATTAACATCATATTATCCTTATTAGATATTTTTATTATTAACGTCATGACCCATGTACTTTTTAATAAATTCCCTGAAAGGGAAAAAAAGGATTATCATTGTCTTCTTCATCATCATTACCATCATTCTCATTTGATCGTCACGTTAACATCATGTCCAATAAAAGATCAGATCATTACATTTTTGCTAAAACATTTCACAGTACAGTATTATAAATTGTCAACATAGGCCTAACTAAATAGGCCTAAACCAATTATTGTGACTACCATAATAATCATAACCAGTATTGTGCTAATTAATAGGTTTCTGTAAATTCTTTACTATTGGTATTAAATTCAGGGGTGGCGCCAGGATTTGCCCGGAGGAGGGGGGGGGGAGGTCCCCGACAAAGGGTCAGATTTCCCCGACGAAAGCAATGTGGGCGTGGTCGTTTCAAATGTGGCCCAGAGGGGGAAGCCCCCCGAAAACGTTAACAATTTAGGGTTTCAAAGGCTTATTTAATCGATTTTAGAGTCTACTAATATGTAGAAAATACATATAATTTTTTTTTCTCCCCGACGAATTGTACTTTTGTGGCGCCACCCCTGCTCGTAAGTCTAAATGGTATCGCCCAGGCTATTCTTTTGCATTAACGATTTTGCAATGTCTGGCTGCTTTTGCAAAGCGTAGCTGACCTCGCCTCGCTGCCGGTCTGCAGCAGGATGCAATTGAAGACAGCAGTTTTGCCAACTGCCGATGGCGATTTTTTTTCCCGTACGAAACATTTATGTACATGAAACTCCACTCGGGCCGTCTCGACTGAATCGACTCGGGCCGAAAATCTCATGTGCAGAATTCAAGAGGTCAAAAGGTCGTCAACAGATAAACGTCTACAAAATGCAAAACAACTTCTGAGAGAACGCTGTCTGATTTTTAAAAAATACATTGATGTTACCATGCTAATACTAATGGGTCGTTTAAAATGACATATAATATTTGATTGAGCTGCACGAGTAATGGAAAGTGTTATTTGAACTTGAGTTACATACTGTGACAATTTTATTTATTTATTTATTTTTTAGTTAGATCTGGGTTTTGCATATTTACCTATAGGCCTACTAAATACTAAAAATATACGCTTTCAGGGGAAAGCACAAAGAGGAAGGAATAGCGCGTCCTCCCGCTGATGCTTTTTGCTGCCCGTTATGGTAATATAACGTTGGTGGCGCGCTTTATGATTAAAAAATTAAAAAACAATACGAAAACGATCCTTTTTTCGGTAATTTTTTCGGCATTTGCGTATATATATATATATATATATATATATATATATATATATATCATATTTTTTTTCTTTTTTTTAAACTTTATTATTGACAAATTAACCGTATAATTAAGTCAGCCTAACTAGGAAAGGCCCATTGCGTTCTCAGCTCTGATGACGGCACAGGATCTCACAGCCTGCCTAGGCCTAGCTATAAGAATACAGATCATTTCGCCGATGTACAAGCTATCTTATTTACAATGTTTAGAAAGTACATTCGGTAGTATTCTAAATCAATTTTACTTTGTATTTGTTTCAGTTTCAGATTATTAGGCTCTTGATAGGAGAATGAGTATTTGATTTGATTATTTATGGGTTTTTACGATTGTTACTGTTTTGAAATTAGTTTAAATTTTAGCATTTTTAGGTACAATTATTATGTAGTGTTGTATATTCATAACCAATGTTGTTTTTCTTGCAGTTCCCAGAAGTAAAAGTCATGTGTACAGCTATATAGGCCTATACAAAACCTCTCCTACATATATATAAACCATAGGCCTACCTTTCAACATATCGTTTTAATTTATTTATTTATTTCCACAAAACCACCCGAGGGTAAAGCAATACCGTATGTACAGAACAGCGCATTAAAAACCACCAAAGACAATACAATTAAAATTGTGATAATTTATTATAAATACTATCAAAATAACATGAGAGACTAGAGTACCCTTAATCGAAGATGGTCCATTATTAAGCTAGAACTTAAGCGGAGTTATTAATAAAAAGATTGGCGATATGTAAGGTCCAACTGAAAGCATTTTATTAGGTAGGACCTAAATTAATGAGGTAACAGGAGTGCTCCGACAAAATTTAGGAATACCGATTGCGGCCTTCAGGAGGTTATTTTGAAACTTATTCAGTTATTATTAGTAAAAAGAGAACCACTTAAGTCAGCACATTGTTTGCCATACTGTAAAATACATGTTTTTATTTAACAATTTATAATTTTAAACTAGGTATAAAAAAGTCAATCTTAAATATAATTAAACCATATTTTAACACATTATTTTGTACATACGTTTTTATTTCAACAATATATAATTTGAAAACCGAAAGGTCCAGATTAATCTCAGATAAGAAAGCATAATATACTCCAAGTATTTCTAATTTATATGGTATATTTGCAATACTTTTTTCCATTTATTTTCCTCTAGTCTCCAGACATCTCCAGCAATAAATAATAACACATATTACGTTTTAATACTGTTAACTCTTTCCCATTCACATATAGATTATAAAAGGCTTTTTCTGTAAAAATAAAATACTGTATTACAATTAGTCAAAAAATTAGTCAAACTTTCGTGTTTAACAAACGGTAGGCATAGCCCTATACTGCTTAGGATCTTATCATACATTCGCGGCCGCGCCTTCGGCGCTCCATACACCGCGACCGAATTTATAACCAAAATAGGGTCGCGAAAGAAAGAACTGCCGACTTGTATGGGTTTTTGTACTAATTTCATAGGCTATTAGTTACATTTAATTCATCCTCATATTTGAATAGCACATATGATTGGGAATAGTGATTTGAAAAACTTGTAATTAGTTTGAACATGAAGGTAGGCCTATAGGCCTATTGTTCATGAAATGCCAAAGAGTTTTATACCAAAGAGTATAACTGCCGGGGATTCTTTGGAACGCATGTGAACATGTATCTACCAAGAAGCGCCTCTTTACGGCTGCTTTGTAGTCACGGACCACGCCCATACGCAATTCAGCACTATGACCAGCAAGTTATGGGTTATTCTCCTACCCTTTAGACCGGATCGGACGTTACACTACTACTGACGTTATCACGACGAAAACAAATTGTCGACAAACTTTTTCTGACGCATACGCAAATCAACATTTTACTTTAAAAAAACTACTCAAAACTGGTGGTAGGGGGTATATGTTTTATTTCGTACAGCTTATTTTCTATCTAACCGTATGTCCACCAGTAAAGGCCTATGTGGCACACTACTGTATACCCGCCGCGAGGCACCGTTTATGAGCCTATTTGTTTACAGACATACAGACAAGTTGTTGCCATACATCTTACACACACATTTCACATCTGTATCATCCTAATAGTTCCTCTGTGACCTAAGTTTACAAAGGAACTAATAATAATAATAATAATAATATCCTTATCCTCGGTGCTCGGTGGAAGCTACCGGAGCCCAGCAAACTGACGCCGAGGTACCTGCGTGTACACGGTAGTGATGGCGGCGACATCTCAAAAGCGGGGGCGCGCGTATGCCATTTTCGTGATTTCTGAAGAGGAAATGGAGGAAAAAAAAGAATGAAAAAGGAAAGAAAAATAATGTGGAATTTGGGAGGAAAAGGGTTTCGAAATGATGATTATGATTATTAATGCCTGACTCTGGGTGTGCTCTTTTGTGTTTTGTTTATCATTATTATTTTTTGTTGTTTATTATTGTTGTTATTATGATTGTTATTATCATTATTAATAATATTAATATTTTTTTTTTTTTCAGGACCACAATGAAAAACATTTCTTTAAAATGATTGTGTCATCCTGGCTAAAGATATTAGTAAATAAATAATAAATAATGAGATAATAATAATAATGTGGTGGTAATGATGATAGTTATAATAATTATAATAATGATGATGATGATCATGGGTGGTGGTGGTGGTAGTGATGATGACGCTGATAATGGCCGTCGTTCTTCGTTAAACCACGCCCACCTGCGCAGTGGTAAAATCATACTTAACGAAGACGACCAGTCGAATAGAAATCTGGAAAATACTCGACAAACAAATGGCTGCATGATAGTTACTGCAATACACGCTGCGTAATCAAGGCTGCTTTGGATTGTGGCAGTATGGGTTTTTGCGTAAAAAAAGGTTTTCATTCAGTTTTTGAATTTTGTTAGCCTACAATTATCATTCTCCTATGGTGTTTTTGGTAGAAAAAGATTTAAACACTGTGGGTGTAATTTTTTCTTTGCGAAAAAATAGAGGGGGGGGGGGCGTGTGCCCACCCCCCCCCCTATTACGCCACTGTTTCATGTCAATTAGAGACAACAGGATTATACAATTTCATACAGTATATATTTTAAATTACACAATATGATTAAACCAGGTATTGTACTTGAAAACAATAAGGAAGCGAAACTTACACGTCAAAAGTGTCAAATGTTGCCTACACAAAAACTGTACTTTATTAAAAGAGTAAATCTATTAAAGGGGTGTCGTCAATGGAGATGCACACATATGAGT